CATACAACCTATTTAGATGTCAAGAAGTTTTTTTTCTCTTGGGGTTTATACAAATAAGTACATGTATATTAGATATGTATTATTATTATTATGTATATATTTTTCTTTTCAAAATGCAACAAGGGTCAACTTAAAATTAAATTAATTGAACACCATTGCAGGCAGGTTTTTAACACTCACCACTAGAACTAAAAGCTCAGGCATATCGATTCAGCAGTTTTACTGAATAAGAGTCTACAAAACCAAAAACATTTAATTACTTAAACCTGCTCTTAGGTTAAAAAAAGAAGAAGCCTCTAGACACTGAACATAAAATGCTTACCCTTATTTAGTTTGATCTGATTAAGTTTAGCAGTGTGTCTGTGGCACCGTGGTTCTTTATCTGTGAATGTGGAGAAAAGGTTTGTAATAACGTCTGTTATCATTAAAATATAGCTCAAAGGCAGAGAGAGCTTAAATTGTAAGTCATTTTAATGAGACAACTCTGCTGACTTCTAACTTTTGTTTGTGTTTGATACGAGACATCATAAAACCAGTGCAAACACTAGTTATTTTTTATTGCAGTTGCATTGAATAATTTCCCTTTGTTTTATCGAAAGAATACACAAATGCAGCCCAATTAGTTGTTGTCAGAATTGCCTTTGTATTCATTTATAATAATTACTCTCTCTACCTCCTGTGTGTTTACAGGTGGTGGAAACCAACCTGGTGGCTTTTGATTGTCACTGGATCCTGATTAATGAGGTGAGACTTGCAGTGAACCGCCCTCCAGTTCAGCTCATTGTTTCAATTAGCCTTGAAGTGTTTTTTGCTTTGGAGTCTGTAATGACTGTGTCATCCACAATATTTGAAAGAGAGAGGAAAACATCAAATATTTATGAATCACTTTTCTTCCTTCCTGCTCTTTTCTATGCCAACATCATGGGCATAGAATATATATATATATATATATGTATACATATATATACACACACAGTATTATCTTCTCAAAATATATTTTGGAACTTTTAACTATGTTCCCCTACGAGTCCCAGGAACCCTTGGTTGAAAGTGCCTGATTTTAATTTCTATACCAGATCGCTACATTTTATTAACAATAAATGAAATACTTTTATAACAGCATTAATCAAGAAGTGGAACTAATTTAAATCTATGGGTGCTGTGTTACATAATTAGCTGTAAATATTCTAATCAAATAAATATGACACATCTAACTGTTGTAATTAAAATCTCCTTGTACATGGAACCATTTATTGGTCATTTAATCACTCTTGTTGAACGATATTAAGACAAAACAAGGATATTAAGACAAAAATATCTAAACCAAGTAGGTCTTGTTTTCATTTTATGGGAAAAGAATTCTTTTTTTACGTTTTTAAACTGTAAGACTGCTGTATCTAAATCACTCTAAATCAATAGATACAGTCATGTTTATTACAGTATGCTATGTAGTATTTTAAAAGGTGTGAAATTTGTTCTGTGTTGTGCTCACATATCTTTTAACAAAAGTAAGGGATGTACATCGGGGTGTCAAAGCTATGGCCCACGGGAAGAATTTTGAAAAAAAAAAAAAACTCAAACACTTCATGTTTAGGATATCTTGTAAAATTATATTATCAATAATAATAAATAAAATGTGTTTGTGAGGAGTGGCGCTTTGGCCCAGAGGCAATGTCTCTGTCATTGGTGTGGAAGCCCAGGGTTCACCTCCTGGGCAAGTTTGAATCCCGGTTAAGGCGGTTGGTACCTTCCAGTGGACTCATCACCCACAGGAAGGTTTGGGAGGTTGGTGCGGTGCAATGTGATTTGGGTGGCGACTGCTGCCTCCACGACCCGGTAACGGATAAGCGGAAGAAAATGGATGGATGGATGGATGGATATGTGTTTGTGAGGATACAGGTCACTTCAATAATTACTTTAGAGAGTAATTATGATTTTTTTTTTATTTTATTTTTTAGGCCAGGATGGCATAAGTCCTACGGGCCAAAATCTCCACTAGGGTGTTCAATCCGGCCTGCTTATGTGTAAATACACAAATACACAAATGCTTCCTTTCCAGGATATTTCTTGTAAATTACATTTCATTAAATATGAATAAATAAAAATAAATATCTAATATATTTGTAACAAATGTGGAAAAACATCACCATTATTGTTATTCATAGCCCGCTCGACATGAATGTGGCCATTGAAACCAAAATGAGTTAGAAATGTTGATGATGTGCATAAATAACTCAACTGAATGTAGTTCAGATTTTCAAAATGCTGTAAAATGATCACTTCCTTGAAAGTTTTGTAGCATCCGAAACTTGATTTACATCAGGCTAGGTGATAAATAGCACTGTGACTTTGCCTATTTCACTTCATCTTTTGGTCTTGGGTTAAAAAACTGTTTAATAATGTAGATGCCATGACAAATCAGGAAAATTCAGCTTCAGGGACTGCAGAACTTCAGCGCTAACGTGACAACAAAAGTTGGTAACGGTCAATCTTTTTGGGGTCATTTGTGTCATTTGTTCCATCATAATGATTGTTGTCAGAATCCTGGTACTGTTGCGACAGCTTTGCTCTTGAGTGGGAGTTTAAACGGTGATTTGTTTTAACTTGTTACTCAATTACGCTGTTGATCCATGACAACAGTGGGGCAAAGAAGTCCCAAAGTGCTTTTTTTGCTACATTGCAAACAATGGTGGCAAGGGCTTTAGATTTACAGTAAGTGCTGCAGTACTTACTTCTTCCAAGAAATTTAAGGCATTGCTGCGATTTTCTCATCTTTAATACTAATAAAATACTACTAGCTACTTCCACCTTCTCGATTTAGCCAGAACGATGCAGATTTGGCAGCGCTGGTTCTAATTACAGAGAGTGACATGACTTATTTTTACTTGTTTGGTGGCTAAACTCTGATCAAATCCTGCAACCCTGTTTGCAAAAAGGAAGAGCAGAAGGTTATGTTGAACCAAACTTTTTTTTTTCTGATACTTACCTAGCCTAAACTGGTTATTCAGATTCATAACACATTGTTATGTCCTACAGGCTGCAGTAGTGTTGTCCCATTCATCCTCAGTGTCAAAAACAACTGCTAGCTTTGACTTTAAATCAAACATTAAAACAGGCCTGGGCAAACGTTTTGACTCACGGGCCACAATTGTCCTAAAATTAAACAGGGGAACCTGTGAAGTAAGATGAATGTAAAAGTCATGCATTAATGCTAAAAAGCTTTTATAATTTTCTACGCCATCTATTGGGGAAATGTATTATAAAGTATTTTCTTCTTCTTTTTCTTTCGGCTTTGTCCCTTTTTTTTTCCAGGGGTTGCCATAGCGAATCATTGATTTCCATATTGCCCTGTTTTCTGCATCTTCTACTCTGACTCCAACTATCTGCATGTCCTCCCTCACTGCATATATATCTGGTAGCTCCATCAACATTCTTCTACCAATGTATCCACTGTCCCTCCTCTGCACATGTCCAAACCATCTCAATCTGGCTTCTCTAGCTTTTTCTCCAAACCTTCCTGTCTGTGTTGTCCCTCTAATGACCTCATTCCTGATCCTGTCCATCCTTGCCACTCCTAAAGAGAATTTTAGCATCTTTAACTCTGCCAGCTCCAACTCCGCCTCCTGTCTTCTGCCTATTGCTATTGTCTCTAAACCATACATCATGGCTGGTCTCACCACCGTCCTGTAAACCTTTCCCTTCACCTTAGCTGACACTTTTCTGTCACAGATGACTCCTGACACTTTTCTTCTTCATTTCCAGCTGTTCCATCCTGCCTGCACTCTAAATCTACAGATACACAATGTAGCTCTTTCTGACCTTCTCAGCACACTTTCCTCATTTGTGATTACGTTCCCCTCTCTGTCCTCATTCAATCTCATCTGCTGCACATCCTTCCTTGCTTGATTTCTCTGTCTCTCCAATCTATATAACTCCTTTTCTCCTTCCTTTGTTTCCAAACTCTCGTACAACTCCTCATATGCCTTTTGTTTGGCCTTGGCCACTTCCCTCTTCACCTCCCTTGTTCTCTCTTTGTACTCCAGTCTGTTATTTTCTGTTTTGTCACTATCCAATGTCTTCTTTGCTAATCTCTTTCTCTGCACACTCTCCCAGACCTCATCATTCTACCACGAGGTCTCTTTGTCCTCCTTTCTCTGCCCAGAGGGCATACCTAGCACTCTCTTTCCTTAATTTCCACCACTTGATCTTCTGCTATGTCTTCACTCTCTTCATTTTTGTCACTTTTTTTTCATTTTTTACACTACCATGCAATGTTGTTTGGTTACACTCTCACCTGCCACCACCTTACAGTCATTAATCTCCCTCAGATTACATCTACATAGAATATAATCTCTCTGTGTGGATCTGCCTCCACTCTCCCCCGTGGGGCATAACCGCTAACAACTTTAATCATCACCCCTTCTATTTCTAACTTCACACACATCAACCTGTCTGACTCTTGTTTCACCTCCACCACATTTCTTACATATTCTTCCTTTAGGATCACCTATACTCCATTTCTCTTCCCATCCAAACCATGATAAAATAGTTTGTAGCCTTCTCCAGTGTTTCTAGCCTTGTTGCCCTTCCACTTGATCTCCTGCAGAGACAAAATGTCTACTCTTCTTCTCTCCATCATATCAGCTAGTTCTCTACTTTTCCCTGTAATTGTACCTACATTCAGAGTTCCAAACTTCAGACCAACACTTCTATTCTTATTCTTTTCTCTTTTTGTCCGAATCAATTTTCCTCCTCTTCTTCTTTGTCTTCGACCAACAGTAGTCCAATTTCCACCAGTACCCTATAGGTCAACAGCACTGTTGGCGGTCGTTGTTAACCCTGGCCTCGACCGATCCGGTATGGAAATCGTTTGAGTGATTCGCATATTTAATTTGGATAAAAGTTTTACGCCGATGCCCTTCATGACACAACACTCACCATTTATCCGGGCTTAGGACCGGCACTATAGTATCACTATATAATCACTATATTATAAAGTATAATGATAATATAAATAATTATTATATAATTTGGAAAACATTTGGTGGGCCGGATTAAAAAGATGAACGGGCTGCATCCGGCCCCTGGGCCTTAGTTTTCCCATGCCTGCAGAACAGAAAGTATAATGATAAGTATATCATTTAAAGTATAATGATATTAAAGTATAATGATAAAAATATAATGATAATTTATGATAATAATAAAGTATAATGATAATATAAATAATTATTATATTTTGGAAAACATTTGGCCCCTGGGCCTTAGTTTTCCCATGCCTGCACTAAAACATCCACACAGTAAATGATTTGTATCTCCAGTCTGAATTTCATTGGAGGTGGCAGCAGTTTCACCTTTCATCAGAGGTAAAAACTGCTAAACACCTGCTGACTAAACCAACTCTACAGTGTGTATCACTTAGGAAAGCAAGACTATAGAAAAATACGGAACTGTCCATGTTTACCTGGCTGGATGTTGGATATAGTTTATTTATAATAAATGCATCTTGTCAGGCATTTGGTGTTGTCTGTGGGTCCCTTGACAGTGATAATCCTTCTTTGGAGGATGAATATTCCTGTGTGTAAAAGTTGTTGAAGTTCTGTTCCTTCCCTGTGGTTTATTATGGATCAAGGGGCACTGCATGGTTGTAATAACTCTGCTTTATCTACAGCCAGCAGTCAAACAACCCCACTGAGTGGGAGTTCACAGTTCATAATTGATCATCCTTCGTTCTCCTATCTCCTCTGTTCTGCCTAGGCTGGGAGGATTATTTTGAGGAAGGGGAATAATCAGGGGGAGCTCGTGGCTTCTCCTTTTCTCTGTCTTTCTTTAAATTAGGAGGAACTTTACTGTTGACCTTGGCTGTTCTCTCTTCATGGTCTTTCACCCTGTGTCATCTTCCCCCAACACCATTGTTGTCATTTTCATTTTAATTCCTCATTATTTTATTCCCAAGCCCTCAAGTTTTTGTTTATTTATTTATTTCCTATGGTACCAATGCATGGAAATGAGATTAGACCAGATTAGCCTTTTCTGTCAGTATGTGGCGAAACTGCATGAGGTCTCATAAAGAAGCAAAGACGTGAGGACATTGCCATTTTTGACCACTTGGACCATTATCTGATAGAGCAGTTGATGTAGTCTTGTAGTCTAATCTATAAATACATAGAGGCATTTACTCTGACGGGGTAAATTATGTCAATTAGAGTCACTATAAGCTAAGATTCCAAATTTTATCTTTCAAATGAGAGGAAGACAGAGGTGTATGGCATTGATGGATAAGGTCAGAGTAAACGACATGGAGCTTGAGGGTTAGGCAAAGTCGTCCGAGAAGCGCAAAGGGTCAAACAATAAACGAGAGAACATCTTTTTACCCCAACTCAAGAAAAGAGGGAGAGGGAATTTAGGGCTCTCTGGGGTCTGACTTGGGAAAAGTGAGGTGAAGTGAAAAATGGAGGACAAAGTAAAGGGGTCAGGGAAAAGTGCCAAGGATAATGTGGATGAAGGATGCGTTTTTGCTTTTAACTTCTATCTTCAAACAAAGCACTAAAGATGGATTTAGTGCTTTGGGGAATGGTGAACAGCATGAAGTGATAGAAGTGGATGATGGGGATGCCTGCAAACCAAACCTTGAAGTTTATGTAGTAAAGAAATGATTTACTGCTGCAGGGTTCACTGCAGGTTACACACTATGGTGTTATAAAGTGGGTTTGTTACAGGCTTCTGGGCTTCATTTGATTGCCTTCAGGACTGAGTGGTTTCTATTAGGCATAGAGAAGAGTTTAGGGGGGCAGGGGAGGGCTTCATCAGTTGTGCTTGAATATACTTCATAAAGACAAACGAGATCAGTTGAGGGAGATCTGGTTTAACAGAATAGACCTTTGTGAGAAGAGGAGTTTGGACTGATGTGGAAGAAGAGACAATTTTATATTTATTTATTTTACTACAGTGGTGTAGTGAAAGGACCCCTGCCTTCCAGTTAATCCATGGGTTGCTAACCTTGAGTGCTACTTCAAGAGCACTTAGTTAAATGAAGAACTAGTTGTTTGTTACAGACCTTTTGAACAATGTAATACTAATTAGTTCTAGGGCATACGACAGCAGACACTCTTCTTACCATCGTCATTGGAACCATTTCAATATCATTGCAAGTGTAACTGATTCAAAAAGCACAATAACAGTATAATTTTTGACCCCGCGTGTTGACTAGGTTTATTTTTAGAACATACCCCACAAAACCTTAGAAATCTCAGCCAGTTAAACTGTGATTTTTAATGCATTGCAAATAAATTGACCTGATAGAATTAGGGTCAAATTAGAATTAGATTTAGGAATAGACATACATTTATCATAGTTAGGTCAAGTGATTAAGGGATGTTTAATTGAGGTTCTTAGAATAAAAGATTAAGTGACATTAAAATGACTAAAAACTGTTGTTGTTCTTTGATTGATTGTGACGTTGTGGCTTAATCTGCCAATATTTAATCCCTTAAACTGAATAAAGAATCACATATGTTATTACTCATATTGGTTTTTTTTTTAACAAGAGAGAAAAGTAATATAGAATCTGTTGACTGTATAACATACACTGACATTTTGTTGTGTTTTTTCTGTTGTTGATTCAACTGTCTGTCACAGTCAGAGGTGTATACATTGAAAATTCACCATTTCCTGTAAACAGAATTAAAAGGCAACACTGTCCTATTTATAAAATTCAAAAATTATCAAGTAGGACTATAACCGTAATTATATTTAATAATATAGTTAGTCATAGTTTCCGTTTCACTACCATTTAAATGCAGCCGTCCTCTCCTCATTTGTCTCACTATTTTCATATATATATATATATATATACTGTCAAACTAATGCTAGCTGACAAACAAATGCTAGCCATCATCTTATCACCTCATGACCCTCTGCAGTGGCGGAAGATGGATAGGGATCCGTGGACAGGGAGAGAATGAGAAATAAATGTGTCCTGCAGCCTAAGTTAGCGATCATACCCCACCCCAAGGTTTTACAAGTACATGCAGATACTGTATGCACAAACATGCACCATGCACCATGCCGGTAACACAATGCCGTATATACAAACATTACACACGACACATGCTAATGCATCAATTTGTCGACCCTCCCCCATACGTCCATGTACTGAGACATGGAGTACTCCTAATAAAAAATGTGTTAAAAAATTGACTTCTTCCTTACCCATTCTTACCACTTGACCATTTATTTTTTCTTTTCTTCCCAGGAGATCTCAGACTACGACTTGCAGGAGCTGGTTATGAAGTCAATCGGTCGGCTGACTCTGGTGCGGCAGACATTCCCTATGCCTCAGAACACAACTCAGCGCTGTGTCAAACCCAACCACAGGATCAACACTTCAGTCTGTGACCCTAAGAACCCCAGGGCTCAGCAGCTCGAGGTGAGTTGGTTTTTGTCCAAATCATTCATCATAACTAAGTCATCCATCCATCCATGGTTAAACTGTTTTAACCAGACAATAAATTAATTCAGGTTTTCTATTCATGATGTTGATTATGGTGTGGTTCTGGTTTGTCTGAAGAATATGTTGTGGTTGTGCAAGGACTAAAAATGAAGCCACCATACCAATAATATCTGAGTCCTTTATTAGTCTTTTAAGTCTTTTATACACACTCTGGTCTGGTTACGTCTTTGTCTGGGTTTTACCTATTTTCTTTTGGTTCAACTTTCAAAAGGCAGCTCCGCTACTGCTCACTGACTTCCTGTTTCATCTCTTACAACAGATGCTCATTTGTCAAATTATTATTTTTTTTTAGTAATATAAATACAAGCACAAAGATGCATCATGTTTCAGGGCTAGCTACAGCTCATTTAGTTGACCCCTTATGAACTGTATTATTCCAGAGGTTTTTTCACTGCTGTTCCTATAATCCAGGAGCAGGGCAAAGTATTACCGTACAATTATTACGTACCTAAGTCATGTTTCAACCTGTTATTAGCTGTAGCTGTGAACCAGGCACAACATACATTCCTTTTTATTTTTAGCAAGGTTTCCGCGGAAGTAAACTTGAAATATGACTTGCTTGTCCTCAATCTCTAAGGTCACTTCAACTTTTTGACATTTAATTCCATTTTATTTGACCTTTTCCTGGGTATACATAATCTGCAAGTGTGTTAATATTTGTGCATTGAATCAAGCCACTTATAGTCACTGTGGATATTATATTCTCATTAACATGGAGATCACAGAGTAATCAATCACAGGCTGAATAATGTCCACTTATTTTCTGACTCATGCCTCGCTCTCTTATTCTGATAGTGCCAAGGTTTTATCAATACATTTTAATTTACGACACCCCTAAAGTGCTTTTTTTGTGTAAGGATGTTTGAAGGTCTTTCCGTACACGTAGAAACCATGTGCACTCTTAACCACAAGTCCTCTCTAAATAAGGACAGAACTTAAAAGTCTGTACGTGACATTCATAAATAACATTGTTTTCACACAAATCCTCACGTTTTCTTTTTTTCACTTTGTAGATCAGCAACCGCTACATCTATGACACAGTTTTGCTGCTGGCCAATACTTTCCACAGAAAGTTGGAGGACAGGAAGTGGCACAGCATGGCCAGTCTCAACTGCATCAGAAAGAACTCCAAGCCGTGGCAAGGAGGGAAGAGTATGCTGGACACAGTTAAGAAGGTAAAAAAGATCCATCCAAGAAGAATCATTGAATTCCTGTGTTTGGAATTATACTAAAATCCATTACACAAAGAAAATAAACTGAAATCTTCATTTCATTTCTCTGTACAAGTAACTGAGAGCAACAGAAGACTGCCCATCCTCACCCACTTCCCCACACAAGTTGATGTGAATATCGACAATAAAAAAATGTTTGGCAGAAATAATAGTGTTGATAATAATTAACCATGCTCCTCCACTTTGACTAGGCATGCTCCATCTCTATGTTTAAGTTTTATTTTGAAAATATTTTAATTTCCTTTTTCTATGGACCTAAATGACTGTATTTTTGTTTTCTATATTTATTTATTTATCCATCCATCCATTCATCCATTTTCATCCGCTTATCCGTTACCGGGTCGCGGGGGCAGCAGTCGCCACCCAAATCACATTGCACTGTACCAACCCCCCTGAACCTTCCTGCGGGTGGTGAGTCCACTGGAAGGTACCAACCGCCCTAACCGGGATTCGAACTTGCCCAGGAGGTGAACCCTGGGGTTCCACACCAATGACAGAGACATTGCCTCTGGGCCAAAGCGCCACATTTATTTATTTATTTTTTAGTTATTTAAGTGTTGTGTTTTTAGGCCTGAAATGTCTTGGTACATTATAATAATAACACAATTTGCAGTTTGTAGTGTTAATATTCCTTATATTATAGTGACACAATGTCATTAACTTAACCACAGTTTGATGACTGAGCATCTGGTTAGTTGACGTCCTGCTGCGCTCGGCTGCTGTTCAGTACATTGTGTCTGAGGTCAAAGGGGTAGACTAATCCTGAAATGTATTATCTTTGTATTTAAATATTTAGATAATATACATATATAGCTTTGGGGAAAAAAAAAACTTGCCTGCTCGTTGCTCAACCTTCAATGTTCACAATTCAAAGCAGAATAAAAACAGCATCATGTCTTAATTAATTAACAAAAATAATTTAAACATAACAATAACCCTTGTTGGATTCTCCGTACCGTGGCTGCCACGGATGAGACTGTGAATGTACCTGGCCCATTTGCCTTTTTACTCTGAAGCAATGTACCATGACATCAACTGGCAGGTTTTCTCTCAGTTCTTAAAAAGGTAAAACGTAAGACAAATCAAGGTTGTGATCGGCGTTTAACATTGATTTGAGAGCGCAGTTTAACAAAACTTTGATCAGTTTAGAAACCAGCTGGATCAATTCCCCCTGTTTTATTTTCATAAAAGAAACATCCTAGGGAAGGTGATGTGACTAAAAGATGAAGCCAAGTGAAATGCTAATTTAGGATTAGTGTCAGATAATTATAAATACAGCGTAAGGGCTTTCATATCTATCTCTGCAATTCACCTTTACATCAGTCTGGGGCTTTCATCAGCTAACTCAGCCCCATGTCTCAAAAGAGCCCCAAGCAGTGAGACACCCCAGTTCAACACTTCGGCTTCAGACCGGTTTTCATTTGTAGTGTTCATCAGCAATGTGCATTGCTTACACACAGGCTAGGATCTGGGTGTTCAATCAGTGTTTCTGTATCTGGGGACATTATAAATACTAATTGTCAGCTTTTAATGAGACGATCAGTTGATGATTCTATTTGTTGTTCACTGGCAGCAACTAAGAGAATATAGACAACAACACTGTAGCTTGTGCCAAACATCTACATTTTATTAAGTGAAGTATATAAAATTTTGGTCCAATCAAATTGAAAACTCTTTAGGAGGAATATTCACATTATTATTATTATTATTATTATTATTATTATCCTATTCTGGAACTTGGGACAACATAGAGTCAGGCTTGAATGGTAGATTTTTTTTTGCTATTAAGCAGAAGCAATATCCACTCTGCCACTTATTGTCCATGGCTTCATTAAATACTTTATTCCCAATAGCAATAAATACATTCAGATTTTTTTAAAATCAATTAAATGGGCTCAGGTTGTTAAGACTGAGTCATTTCCCGTGTTTCCCAATCTTTTTTTATGACGTGGCACATATTTATCATCAGGAAAAAAAACCACGGCACACCACCAAACAAAAATCTCACAAAACGTATATGTAATGAAATATAACTTAATATTCCAGTTTAAATGGCCTTATAATTTACTAAAAATCTTAGCCTGTTTAGTTGTAGACAACGTTGATATACAGAAATTTAAGAAAGATCTTCTTCAACAGTTCTGATTCTCTTTCTTTAATTTTCACAGCAGTCTGCTCCCACCTAAATGTTTTTATTGTTCAGCCTGTCACACATTCAAAAAAAGAAAATGTATTTGTAATAAGTAATAGTTTTTGAACCAATTAGTTGAAATTGGTTAACTTTCCCTGCACTCCTAGTGAACTCTCATTGGGACATTAGTGTGCCATGGCACACTAGTGGTTGGGAATCACTGGGTTAAATTATTAAAGTACGTGTGATATATATTAACAAGGAAAGCAGTTTTTTGAAGGTTATTACAACCACTTTAGTTTTTACTTCACTCTCTAGCATCTGAATTCAGACAACATGTTGATAATCTTATTTATTTAATTATTTTAAGTAAACCAACACAGGAAATTTTGCCCTTGTTTCCCCAGTTTGGTGTCAGTGGCCTGACAAGTTTCTTGGAGTTCACAGACAATGGCACCAACCCCAACATCTTCTTCGAAATCCTTGGAACGAATTACGGAGAAGACAGAGGAAGAGGAGTCAGTAGGGTAAGTGTTTAAAACAGAACGCCTGTGTGGGCTACTGTGGGTGGGAGGGAAATATTTTTTCTTCCCCACATTAAAGTGATTTACATAATTTCTACATTGACCCAGGAACTTCAGTGCACCTGTGCTTGTCATAATTTACATATAATCTCATTCTTATTCAGGTATTCCTTCCCTCCTGGCTGTAACAGCTATGCAACGGTGCCATCATGGTTTTTTCATATAGATTTGTCTCAGAAAGATTTTTTTCTCCACTTTCACCACAGAGTCATTAGTGAAAGTTCTCAGACATGCATGTTTGTAAAATAACACATGTAGTACCAAATGTTTAAACAATATAAAGAAGAAATATACAAAACAAATACTCAAAGTAGTGAGAAATATAATCGTTTAGCTCTTCAACCTCCGCTGCATATATTCATGTGTTAAAAATAAAGATGATCTGATTTAGTTCAAATACTGTCAATATACTAAACATACCATATAAATATACAAAGAATATATCTCAAAGAAAATGTGGTTTTATTTATGAGTTCTTACCTTCAAGACAGATGATACAGTAGCGTACCTCCGCACATGAGGAGGAGGGTGGAAGGGAGGGAAGAGAGTTGGCCCATATGTAGACACTTGATTCCATAGCATAGTGTGCTAGATCACTCACGCGTACACCACACTCATTTAATGACTCACTACCATCCTTACCACTCACTTTCTTAGAACTAGATAGAATAATGCACAAAATGGAGAGAAAATCACGGAAACGAGTGAGGCGGGTGGGATGCTCCGAGTGCTCGGCTACCTAGCGTCTGCATCTGTAAGTGTGCTCGTATCTCAAATCTTTACTTGTATCTCAAAGAACAAATTTACTCGAAGGCTTGCTTGTATCTTGAAATACTTGTATGTCGAGGCGCTCACATCTTGAGGTTTCACTGTATATGCGTTAGCGTCATTATATAAGAAATAGATATTGAAAAATATAAAATAATATAGTTTTAATATATAAAAATAATAATATAAATGATAGAAGAAACACATGTCTGAAAAGCGTCTGCTAAATGTACTGTAATCTGTGGTGAGATTTTTTACTCTTGCCTTACCACATAATGGTGAGGTTTGTTTCTCTTTTTCTTTTATGTCAGTGATTGTTTCTTTCAATTTGTCTCTGTGGTGACCATAAATATAAAACCCCGTCTGAAATCTCTATGGAAGCATGGAAACATGGCAACTTGTTAATATGGAGGGAACATGTCAGCGGTTATGCCCCAGAGGTGAGTTGGAAGAAAATAAGTTCTGGAAGGAGCTGGATTGGATGATAGAGAGTATCCCCAGGGGAGAGAGAGTGGTGATTGGAGCAGACTTTAATGGTCATGTAGGGGAAGGGAACAGAGGAGATGAGGAAGTGATAGGTAGGTTTGGTGTTAAGGAGAGAAACTTGGAAGGATAAGCAGTGGTAGATTTCGCAAAGAGAATGGAAATGGCTGTGGTAAACACCTATTTCTAAAAGAAAGAGGAACACAGGGTGACGTACGAGTGGAGGCAGGTCCACACAGATAGATTATATTCTATGTAGAAGATGTAATCTGAGGGAGATTAATGACTGTAAAGTGGTGGCAGGTGAGAGTGTAGCCAAACAACATTGTATGGTAGTGTGCAAGATGACAATGGAGGTGAAAAAACTGAAGAGAGTGAAGACAGAGCAGAAGATCAAGTGGAAAGAGACTAAGGAAAGAGACATGTTGTAAAGACTTCAGGAAAGAAGTAGGTGCAGAAGGTGCAGTAGGTGCAGTTCTGATAAGAGAGAGAAAGGAGAGAGAAAGGAGGACAAAGAGACCTAGTGGTGGAATGATGAGGTCCAGGAGAGTGTGCAGAGATAGAGATTAGCAAAGAAGGGATTGGATAGTGACAGAACAGAAGAGAACAGACTGGAGTACAAAGAGAGGACAAGGGAGGTGAAGAGGGAAGTGGCCAAGGCTAAACAAAAGGCATATGAGGAGTTGTATGAGAGTTTGGACCCAAAGGAAGGAGAAAAGGAGTTGTATAGATTAGCGAGACAGAGAAATCAAGCTGGGAAGGATGTGCAGCAGGTGATGTTGATTAAGGACAGAGAGGGGAACGTAATCACAAGTCAGGAGAGTGTGCTGAGAAGATGGAAGGAGTACTTTGAGGAGTTGTTGAATGAGGAAAATGAAAGGGAACGTAGGAATGAGGAGCCAGAAACTATTAGGAAGAAGGTAGATCAGATTAGAAAGGATGAAGTTAGAAAAGCCCTGAAGAGGATGAAGAGTGGAAAGTCAGTTGGCCCTGATGACATACCAGTGGAAGTATGGAAGTGCTTAGGAGAAGTGGCGGTAAATTTCCTGACTGGGTAAATTTCCTGAATTTTAGAGAC